GTAACGTAATGGAATGGACGTGTTTTGTGAAAGTATTTGTACAATTATACGTGATATGGCTTTTTAATTTATTGATGCTGATTAAAAATTCGATTTTTTCCCCCTTTCCCGACGAAGGAGCAGAGTTACGGCTTAGAGTACGTGGTGAAATAAAATAATTAGTCGCGCATAATCGGCAACGTATCGGCGCGATATATCATGAAAATCGCGATGATCCGCCGATTATTCGCATGAAATTCGCACGAGTGTGTATACGAATGTAAACACAACGTGATACGTGGCCATACAAGTGTGCACTGTATGTATAAAGTGTCGCCGAGTTTGCCCCGTATGTTAAAACACGATTCGCTTTCGAAATAAATCGATAAGATCTCGGTTGTGCAGATTTCAAATTAATGTCAATGCACGGCACCGTCCGTTCCAGCCACGAACAGTGGTTATTAATGCCCGGTGTTGCACACGTTAGACCGTTCTAACATTATTATGACGGTGTCATGTAAAGTAGACGGTTGTAATATTAATGTAACCCGAGATGAAATTGAGAGAGGAGAGCACCGGCAGATGACAAGCTGTTCGTTCTTACGTGGAAACGATGCAATTATTTCGAGACTTAAATAGGCCGGAACACGTTGTAATTTCACCACGGTCAAATGCTTCTTGACAGAGCTTTCTTTTTTTTCTTTCCCCCCGCCCTTCTTTTTTCTCTTTTTTTTTTTTCGTATACATATATCGACGCGAGTTAATTGCTAAAGTATCGCGCGGCGAACAAAATGTTAGTATAATTGGTTTCTTTAATAGAGTCCTTGTTATACTTTCTAAGGCGATGATGAGCGGCCAGCCTATTTGTGCTACGCAATTAGTTTAATTAACAGCGATCGATCCGCGATAAGTGAAAGAAACAGGTATCGTTTCGTCGTCACTGATAAGGCTAATCGTTGGAACAGGAACGAGAAGAAAGATGTTGATATCCGGTTCGCGTAATTAAAACCGCGTTGACGGACATTCATTAGCCGGAATCGGGATCTAAACGGCACCGATTACAGATCGATTAATCGAATCGAAGTGTCGTCGTGCGTCGAATAGGTGTTGCATATATCAGCAAACGGTAAATCGCACTAACGGCGACGAGAATGCGAATCGAAACAACAACCGATTTTCGTTTCTTTATTCCTTTTTCTATTTTTTATTTTTCTAACAATCGAACCGAGTGTTCGCATATTCGCACGCGGCGAATTCCGAATCAATTAATCTTAAAACCCGCGTCACGGACGATCTTCGTTTACGTGTTCAATATCCACTTATCCCCGTATCTTCTCGCAATTTTGCTCTCTGATGTCTACAATTATGGCCGGCATTTGCCTCGAATATACATACGAGGGAACTGGTATGGTAGTTTTCAAGGCGAAAGGAGGGAAGGCCAGATAAGGTAATGTCTTGGCAATGGGTACATGTGCTTTCGTTCACACGCGGATACGAATGATCTGTACCGATCGTTATCTAACATGTCCCGGTATAACACAATTATTTGCACCGGTAGTACAACTGGCCGAGTTCCATGCAGATATCTATTTCGACATAACACGAGGTATATACGAGGTGTATACGTACTCGAGAGGCTGGGCAAAAAAAAAAGAAAAAGAAAAAAAGAAACGGCAACCGTGTGTCTTTATAACTCTGTGCGTCTTAAAACTCTGCTTCTCTAAAAATGGGCCGTAAACGTAGGGCCTATTATCGTCGAAATGACGATTGTCAACGAGCCCATCGATCGCGAAAATTCGACCGTCTCTTTTGATCGATGAAACCTCCAAGGAGAGTGCAAGTTTTTCTTCTTCGACGAAAACAAGTTTTTTCCCTCGCTGCACGCCACGAACGGACAATGCGACGTTTTTTTAAAATATCATTGGAATATCTCCACGTTCCCGTATTCACATCCATTCCTTATTAATATACCTAAACCCGTAACTTTCTACTCGTTATCGAAAACGGGGACCGCGATTATCTCGAAATGATCGCGATCAGTTTCAAAATAATGTGTCTATAAAGAAACCGTAACGACTCACTTAGTTACCTTCTTTACGGCGTTCTTGCCGATCCCGCGTCACTTATTAACTTGAAATTACACCTACAGATATATATATACACACACACCTAAAGTCTCGTCTAGAAATCGATCATCAAATCGATCGATACTCGGCAGTGACACGAGAAAAATCGGCCGTTTCGAACGATAGAGAATTGATTCGCCGGAATTGGCACCCTCCTCCCCGCGTTTCGCTCTCGACTCTCGCGAGTCCGCCGAGCGGGTTGGCCGCGCTCGGTTGCAATTATCCGAGGCGGTTGTGTTACACGCTAGAGGCGTGTGCGTGTAATACACGTGGCGCGTTGGAGCAGGTACAAGTTAGAGCAGGTCACTTTCGCTGCCGGCTCGAACTGTTCCAGTCGTCGCGCACGCGTGCTGCTCCATTCATAAACTTATAGAGACGCGTATGTGGCACCACGTAGGTGTAGTAGGAAATCGCGGATACACGGAAATGCACTATATCGCGTTTCCACTCGATCTGTCTTAATGCGCCTCGTCGAAACCGAAATGGTCGAGATATACGGCGAGGGAAAAGCATACACCCCTCCTCAAACAGTTTACGCGGCCAGGTATATTTGAAACGATAATAAGACGGATAGAAGAGGGTGCAGAGGGTAAAAATTAATAGCAATAAATATGGAATATTTCTTGGGACGCGATTGCAAGTTTGGAAAGGAAGAGCGGTTTTTAAACTCCGTTCCGGATGCCGCGTTACATAATGCGAAATTATGTAAAATGTTAGCGCCGACTTTTATGCGTCGTTATGATGTATCTAAGTTTTCATGGCGGGCCGGCCGATTATGCACGCTCGTATCCACAGAAAGGAGATATAATGGATGATCTAGTATTCCGTGCAGGAGGTTGTGCGCGAGTCGAGCGTTTATTCGCTAAACGCCAAGTTTCGTAACCTTTCAATTAAGAGCGGAGTGGCACAGCGGTGCAACCGTGTTCTTAAAGTGGAAACGTGGTGATCACGCAGCGGACCACGCAGCAGTTTAAAAGTTCCTTGCTTTCGGAGAGATCGAGGCCCGATCTCTTTCCATCTCCGTCCCGATTTTAACTTTATCGGGGTGTAATATCGTCGCACGGAGGAAATAACAATAAATTCTCTTGATCGCAACAGTAAGCGTATTAAATCTGCGCAGTTAGAGAAATACAATTTCTGAATTCGAAAAATGTAATTCGAACGTGTACGTAACACCTTACTTATTAAGCAGATGCTATTGCATAATGCTCATAATTTCTTCTAGACTCGCGGTTCATTGACGTTAGACGAACGCGTAGCTTGGGGTCGAGCGCACAAGAACTTAGGAAGAACGGTGGTCACGTTCGAGCTTTTATTACGTTTCATTACAATTACAAACTCTCGTGACATGTTTGAAGTTCTCCAACGTATTCGTTTCGAGCATGAATTCACGCTCCAGGAAGTATTTAGCAGTGTTTCGTATACCTTCCTTTCGAATCGCACTCGGCTTTCATTCGTTCGTTCCATCGAAATGTCGCACAAGTTATCATTATCTGCGCGTGCATTATCATTGCGTTTCATTGGCGCTTAGAAGCAAATAATAACGCCGTTATAATAAACGATGAATTCGCGGGACATCGGTCGCGTATTATCGCGTATAATATAATCATGAGTTTGCCGAGTTTGAAAATTAGTTCAAGTTGTCGTCACGTAGCCACCGCGTACATACACCGCCTCGAAGCATCGTGAAGAAGAATGCACGCCACTTGGAGGAGCGCAAGGGCTACCGTTACAAAGCCGCGCTGTGAAAGTGCACTAACGAAAGTGTGAATACTAATGCGATTTTTGCACACACACTGTGTACAAAATGTTCCCGTACCACATTATGCCGGATCTGGAATTCACCGTTAACGTAGATAACGTTGCCTTTTTTACCGATCTGGCCGATGACTAAAACCCCACGAATTTCATTTATTTTCACGAGTTTAATTCTCCGATTCATTGTTCGAAATTGATCGAGGAAACGTGAATAAAGTATCAAGACCGCAACGATCCGACTAATAATATATCGCAAATTACACATTGAAAAATCTCGGCGAATCTTCCGTATTTCCAGCAATTATGGATTCTTTTTCCCTTTTTTTTTTTTTATTATATATATATATATTTCAAAGTATACCACCAGTGTTAAGAGAATATTTCTTGAAATTACAAGGTGCTTTAATGATAGCGAGGCAGGAGGAAAAGATTGGATAAAATGGAAATTTCCCTCGCGTTATCTCGATCTAACGATCTGAAATAATGTGTACACAGGAAACTCGATTAACGCAGAAAAATATCGAGCTGTTGATTAAATTGCAGGATGCTCGATCAAGGTACGAGTGGCGAGCTAGAAATCGTGCATCTCGATTCACCGGTCAACTCTATCCCCCTCCCTTCTTCTATTAGCGTTAATCGATTATAGCGTGACGGATCGAATGATTTAAATAAAGACCGGGTGCGTCATGGGCCTGGCTTGCTTCTGTCTGACCGCGCCCGAATCAAAATGATGCCATTGCGTTCGCTCGTTATGCACAATCTGTTGCGTTTCTTTCCTTTTCTCTCTCTCTCTCTCTCTTTCTTCTTTTTTTCGTAGCTAATTAAATTTGGTCGTCGAAGAGATCAAGTTTTTTTTTTCTTTTGGAAAGGAAAATTTCGTTTCGCACGAAATACATGAAAATACGAAGCAAAAAACGTCTGCATTTTGCGCTTAGAGGTATTCGAGGTAACTCGAGGTAAGAATGTCATCGAACACGGAACAACAATTACTCGGTTTTACTCGGTTTTTAGGATTTTAATTTAGCAGTTAGGAAACGAGAGTAGAATTATGATAAAACCTTGCCGTTACTGGTTAAGTTTCCCTCAACCGTGTGCAGACTAATTTCTAATGCAGATACGTGCGTTTGTATGTTGCAGGTGACGTACGCCGAACGGGCCAGTATTCATGCCAGTATGCCAATCAGATGCCAGTAGAGAGCCAGTATCTGTATCTGTCGCCACCGATAGCCAATTAATAAGTTACTTAGATAGTTAAATTAATAGGCAATACAGAAAGCGAAAAAAAAAAAGAAAAAAAAGGAAAGAAAAGAAAAAAAAACGTCAATGTTTTTTGAATAATTGTTGTTAGAAGGCGTCGTTCAATAAGCGTGACAGATATACACCACGTATATTAATATACACGCAACTACATATAATACCGATATATAAATATAATTACGCATTAAAAATATAAGAAACAAATATATATATATATAAAATATAATCGAGAGGAGCACTAAGTGTCGGAATCGCGCGAGCAATTATTTTTCGCATCGCACTTTTTTTTTATTCCCCTCTTCCCCCGCTCCGCCCCATCCCCCCCCCCTTTCTTCTTCGACCATAATTTTCTCCGCTCGTCGTTGATCGTGGTTTTCTTTTTCTGAATTTATCGGTGACCGCGTATGATTCCCTGCGGAGAGTATATTCATAAGATTGGACAGAGAGTGCAATCGAGTTGTGATTATCGAAGTGGACCGACCGATCGATTTCTCGGCTGTGAAGTGAATTAATATCCCAGGAAAACGATTGAAAACGGAGAAAGGAAGTGAGCACGCAGGCCGAGTACACAGGCGAGCAAACGGTGGCTGGAAACGGTGACTTACATCGAGAGCGCCAACCTGCAATCAAGGTTCATGGTTTTCATGGTGAGTCATCATCAGTTTCTATCCGTTTCTACTAATTTTAATGCCCGGCCGTTTTCAACGCCGTTCCCACCCACACCTCCAATTCTTATTTATTATCTTTTACCGTTTTATCACGCTTCTTACGCTCGACATGCACATTCGGTAGGTAGGCAAACGATAGGGAAGTTTTATTTTTTCTATTCCTTTTTTTTTCCCCCTTTCTTAACGAGATCTTAAGGCGGTTCACAAGGAAAGCGGCAAATTTTCGTGACAATTTTTACGCTTGATTTCTCCTCGCTTTTTTTTTTTTCTTCATCCTTCTCATCCTCGCCTCTTCTTTCTTCTTAGTTTTTTTCACTGCTCTCGATTACGGATCGACGAGCGGACCCGTTATAAGTAACGCGATTTTATGCAAAATTTCCTCCATGACGGGTTGCCGCAACTTCCAGCGAGATATATAGCACGTGTCACGTGCAATTTGCATAATGCGACATCGACACTTCCTCCCATGTATCGGAACGTTATCTTTATACACCGTCGTATCGTTTCATATCGCGGATTATCGGGCGCGCGGTTTAAACGTAACATCCGATAATAGCGAATTCGGGGAATCGAAACTGTCCCATAAATATCGATAAACAAGGACTACCGAAAGTATCGAAAACTTCCGCCTCCTGTAAAATTTATCGCAATTTTATCGCGACTCGGTGATAATATTCAATGGGCATAATCATTCCGGATAAAAGCTGGTTTACAAATCGAAATTCATCCGCTTCCACATCCTGTAAATACACACACATATAGAGAAACTTTCTCAAATCCTTATCCCGTACTCGCTGTACATCAACCCACCGAATTAATGGTAACCAATTAATTTGAATTACCTAGCCGGCAATTTCACGTCTTCTCGCATCTTCGTTAACAGATTTCGGGGGAATTTATTTTTTCCCGATTTTATCCCGTTTAACTCGACATGGAAGTCGTTACCCGACTTATTAATTGAGCTAATTTATTTCGTTTCATTATTCGCCCCTAAATTCTTCTCACGATTGGGCGGGAATATCTTAATGCGGGCGGCCCGCGTTACGCAAATTAGGAGCATAACTTTGCTCATATCCCATAACGTGGCCCGGCTAATTAAGAAAAGCGTCGGATAAGCGGCCGTATCGGCCGATTCGATTCGTTCGATTTCTCCCGGTTATGCCATTCCGTTTTAATGCACGGATATTTGGGAGGGGTGTAAGAGGAGACCGGTCGAGGGAGAAGAAAAGAGAAGAGGAGAGAGAGAGAGAGAGAGAGAGA